CATCTGGTGAAAATTTCATGTCATTAGCACCTCTAGTAATATATTTACTGAGAAAAATGGTGACGTGTTCAATACTTATTTTACCCGCTGTATTGCCAACAATGTGCTGAGCTGAGAGGAAGATGTGTCGCACCAATGAAGTTCCTGCAGCCTCCAGCGGTGGAGCCACGGATCCAGTTGCCCTCAAACACGTTGACATCCCAGAAGTGTTTGATGTCGTCACTGAGGGCATCAGGGGTCATGTTGCAGATCTCCACTTTGTCATAGTTTCTTTTAAAGTCCTCAAACTCCATCCTGGATTCCAAGAGACAAACATCAAATTCTAAASTAATAAGCTACTTAAAAGCTGCCCCCCTTTTTTTAAACTCTTTTGTATTTTAAATGGATTTTTTTGTCATTTTGAAGTGTGTTTCCGTGGAAAGGTTATAATCTTACATGTTGTAGATAACTTTTTGAACAAACTCTGTTTAAGAGCTCAAATGTCTCAGATGAGGATGAGGTAATGGCTCAAAGTGGATTCTGTTGTCTTAAAACTATAATATCCAAAATTTCACAGTGTTTCAAAAGAACCAAAACATTTTTTTGTTTGTTTTAATGTTCGGTTGCAATCACAAACYGTAGCAGCGACAGCAAGCTGTAGCACTTCCTGTGCAGCTTAGGCTCATTTCCAGCAGGAACATCATGTTCCAGCTGAACTAACCTGGAGCTCATTTCACAAAGTCAGATTAATAAATTCAGRATMTGAGCTGTAAGCTGAGCTTGAACTGGCCTTCAACTTGTAAACAGCTGTGATCTGTTGCTCTAACACCAAGCTGCGCTCAGTTAGGATGGTTCAGTCAAGCCAGGTGTAAATAATCTGGGATTAATGCACGTTCACAGTTTGTTTAACAGACCCGCTGGGTGGATCACAGATTTACTGATCAGGCATGCGCAGTAAGACACGTGAGGCTCACTTCTTCCAGCAGTGGAAGGGTTAATTATGATGAAGATGAAGAGATGAAGAGAAACACCGACTGATGCTGAAATAATTTCAAAAGTAAAAATTTTTTGTGTCTGAATCTGTCTGTAAATTATCTGAGATTAACTAAATGAACAAATTAAAATGATCGCTGGAGGATAAAAACAGGGACGGGGG